AGTCGGATAATTTGATGCCTATTCAAATAGATAATTTAAAGGTTGTGAAAGCCATTTTGCACTGGTTTGAATGGATTTCAGGGTTAAACATTAATTTTAACAAAAGTCATTTGTATGGGTTTAACATTTCAAAAGGATGGTTAAAAGGTGCAGCTGAAATCTTACATTGTGGGGTAGGAAGGGTGCCTTTTATCTACCTTGGTTTGCCAGTTAGAGGAAATCTGGGGAGAAAAAAGTTTTGGAATTCCGTGCTGAATCGTTTTTGTCTTAAGCTTGCCACTTGGAAAAACCCACTACTATCCTTTGGAGGCCAGACTACCTTAATCAACTTGGTATTTTCTGCTCTTCCTATTTTTTATTTGTCTTTATTTAAGATTCCTAAATGTGTGCTTGTTAAATTAATTAAAATTCAAAGGATTTTTTTGGGGGGGGGGGGGTGAAGTCAGAAAAGAAGATTTCTTGGGTTAGTTGGGATTGTATGTGTGTGGATAAGGGAAGAAGGGGATTAGGAGTAGCTGATTTAGAGGAGAAATTTTGCTTTGCTGGGTAAATGATGGTTTAGATTAGGTGATGGTTTGGATGGTTTATGGAAGAGGGTGATTTGGGAGAAATGTTATGGGGGGAGGAATGAGGCTGATATAACTTTGAATCTTTGAATATGTTTTGTGTGTGGAAGGATATTGTATGGGTAGGGGGTTTGAAAGGTTAGTGGAGATGTTAGTAAATGGTTTTAAATGGAAAGTTGATGATGGAAGATGTGTAGATTTTTGGAGTGATAAATGGGTGGGAGATAAGTCCTTGAAAGATTTATTTTCGAGGTTGTTTGTGTTAACTACTGTTAGGGAGGGATGGTTGAAGGATATGGGCTTTTGGAGGGGTGATACTTGGGTATGGGATTGTAGATGGCGACATGGATGTGCAGGGAGGTCTATTGGTGAGGAAGAACAGTTAAGGGAAATGATTAATGGGGTAAGGTTGAGGATGGAGGAAGCAGATTGTTGGAGATGGATTCATGGTAGAGATGGTATCTATTCTATAAAGGTGGCCTATGATTTTTTATCACCGAAAGTTTGTGTTCTTGATGAGAAGCGGTCTTGGATTATTTGGAGTAAATATGTTCCTTCTAAGTTGAGTGTTTTTGGGTGGGGATTATTTTTGGATAGGTTGGCCACTAAAGAGAATTTGTGTAAGAGAGGGATTTTGTTGACAGGGGGGGATGTTAGTTGTGGGTTTTGTCATGACGGCATGGAAAGGCTTCATCATATTTTTGGTGAGTGTGAAGGGGTATGGTTAGTATGGATGAAGGTTTTGGGATGATGGGGTTTGCAAAGTGTTTTGCCAAATGATATATTTGGTTTGGTGGAGTCAGTGGTGTATGGAATAACTGGGGGGTGCTTGAAGGAGCTGGGAGCCCTTATTTTTTTGGTAATTGCTTGGTTTGTGTGGTACTGCATGAATATGAAAGTGCTTGGGCCAATTTTGCTATCTGAAGTGCGATTATTAGAATCTATTCAGGTTAAGTCTTTTTTATGGATTAAAAACAAAGAGTCATGATGTGTGTTTTCTTATACAGATTGGATATTAAAACCTATGAAGTGTAAGGAAGCCATAGTTCAACATTGTCAAAATTCAAAGAATTACAAGAAGATGCAATACGTTATGATCTGATCTACTTGTGGGTTATTTGAGTACTTGTGGCATAGTTTTTGAATGTATTTAGCTTATGGATAACTATTTTTAGCACTTTTGAATTTTTTTTTTTAGTTGAGTTGTGG